TTAGTTTTCATTTTTGTTGTAAAATTTACTATTAATAATAATAATTTGTATAAATTCTATTACCTAATAAAATTAAGCTTTAGTTTCATTTTTGTGTAACTTTCCATACACACACACAAAAAAAAACAAATACCAGAAAATTCAAAGAAATTTTTGAAAATATAAGACACTTGTCACCCTGAAATAAATGCATTATTAACATAACTGGTTTATTTTTTAATTGATAATATATTTTTGAAAATAAACTCACCGCCTTCAAAGGCATCATAAAATTCTTCACATTCTGTTTCAAGAAAATGGTCAATGTGATTACGAGTCGGAGAATTATAAGGAGTTGTGCTAATTGATTGTTCTAGTTCATGGTGTTCTTTAGCTAACACATGAAGAGCTTCCTCTAAAACACGACATTTTTCTTGCTCTTGCTTGAGCTGAAGAGTTCGAACCTGCAAAACATTTTTATTAAAAGTACTTTCTATATCCAACTAAATTCACTTTACAGCATTTGATAAATCAGAGCTAGGCCAAAATGAGTATTTGGTAAATTTTTTTAGGATATCACTAAGCATCAATAATTCTCCCTAGGAAAATGTCATACAGTGACATATAATAATGCCATACAGTGATTTGATCACAGGTTTCAAGACAACAGTTTAATATCTAACTTTTTGGCCAATCTGAGACCGATACAGTAAATTAACATATAAACTTAAAAAATTCCAACTGTATCAAAAATAATCTATTGAGGTAAGAATGTAGAAAACTGATTGATCAGTATTTACACATACATGTAATATGTACAAACTATGAACAAAGAATCGAGACACTAACCTCCTCTTGCTGCGAGAACACAGCCATACAGTGAGACAAGCTGGCTGACAATGTTTTCGATGACTCTACAACCTGAGCGAGCTGAGATTCAATATTCTGCCATGAAACCAAATGTTTCACAATTGAATTTGTAACTTTTTCTGCACTAAAGTACTGTTTTGATAAGGACTGCAAAGATGCAATCTGCTTCTCCAGAAGTTTTTGATGTGCTTGAGCAGTCTGAAAGGACAAAAAAAATTGTTCATTATTGCTCAAGAATTCTACGAGACGGGATGTGCATAAAACATAAAATTTACATGTCTACTTCCAGTTACTACAATACGTCAACAAACCATTCTTATATTCTAGTTGAGAACCTGAGAAAATTAAAAATTTCAGCTCATATCTATAGCATGTTAATTCCATATTATAACTGTAAAATGTCTAGTATGTTTCAATCTACATTATTACTACTTTCAGAATCGAGTTCATAAGGGTTAAAAAAAAAAAGGTATGTATCCATTGAAACAATCACGAAGCATGATTTCAAACGTGATATCATATAAGAATTAAATCCCTCAAAATAAGAAAGTCAGCTATTGTTAAAGTAGAAGCTCCCTTTAACCAAGCCAACATTTTCATGACTAAAATTTTCTGTTGGCCATGTTTTTTTTTACCAGTAACTTCAGAATTATTCAAATTGTCATATATGGGAGATCCACCTTGGAATCTTCCTGAACTATTTCAAACAACTAGAGTAAGATTTTTTCTCTCTTTCTGGTTTGGGCACAAATTATGAACACCGGTATAATGAAATTGGCCCAAATGTTATCTTTAGCACTGAACATGAGGGTCACTTATACGTCTATGACCCAAAATCTTTAATTAATTTCTACAATAAGTCTTAAAAAAAACATTCTACAATTTATAACTTTACATTCTAGGACAATATTCATCTTTGGACGCATGTAAGACTCAAGGACAATAACTTTATTTAATATGGACAAAATTCAAAAACAGTTCTGTAAGCTTGAAATATTCTGATGATGACAAAACCTTGTCATAATGTACATTTTTCAGTATGTTAAACTTGTAATAATTTTCATCGTTACCTGTTCAAGCTATCTTCAAACTTCATCTCAAATTGGGTTTATCATCATCAAATCAAACTTAAAATACACAAGCACCTGATGAACTATACACACATATTTAACCACCAATAATTTTCCCTTATATCCGTTATAAATGTGAGATGCCTGAAATACTTGGTAGGAAAAGACAGTCTTAGCTTAGTTCTGCCTGAACTTCTCATTAATTACACATGCCTGCAAATTTGCATAAAAGTCATTTTGGTTTTAATAATGGATTTTCCATAATTCAGCTATGCACATTTTGAAAATAACATTCATTTTTTTCTATCACTTAAGGATTTTTTAAAAAAACAAGAAGAAAAAAAAAACTCTTACTTAGATCAAATTAATATTTCGTTTACCACAATGAA